GGGGGCGGGGGGGTCCCGGGGTTGGGGGGGGGGGGGGGGGGGGGAGAGGTGGGTGGGGGGATCTCTACAGGCCTCCATGGCCTCTGGTCAGCTCTGGCTCCTTACTCACCCCTCCGCCTCTCTGTCTGTCCCGTCCATTCTCTCTGCCCACCTTGTCTTCATTCTGCTCATGTCACCTCTCTGTCCCTGTCCCTCTGTCTCCCCACTTCTTGTGGAACTCTGTGTCTCCCTGCATCACCACTGTCACCTCCTCTCTGTCTCTGTCCCTGTCCCTCCATCTGCTCCCACCCCATCCATTCTCAGGTGGGGCGTACCTTCGACCCAACCACTGCCTTCGTGGTGGAGGACCTCAAGCCCAACACGGAGTATGCATTCCGGCTGGCGGCTCGCTCGCCACAGGGCCTGGGCGCCTTCACCGCGGTTGTGCGCCAGCGCACGCTGCAGGCCAGTACGTGTCTCTTGGCGCCTTGTCCTTGGGGAGGGGGGAGTGCAGTGCCCACTGCCCTGGCCTGAGCCCCTGGGTGGGGGTGGGGGGTGCCTCCCGCCTGGCCTGCCTCAGCCTTGGCCATGTCTGCCTGCTGTGCCTCAGTTTCCCCAGAGCAGGGTGGGTCTCCCCATGGAGATGAGACCAGCACAGAATGGCCACTCAGCCATTGGTTCCTTCCTGCTCTCCCTGGGTGTGGGACCAGTCCTGTCCCCACAGGGCCCCAAGGCTGTCATCCCTGAGAGTCCAGGATGACAGCTCTTCTCTCCTCACAAGGGACATATCTCTACAAGCCTCGAGATAGGGTCCCCAGTGGCCCAGTTGCTTGGAGCCATATCAGTTGGGGGGAGGGCATGTGTGGCCCCTGATACAGGGTCCCTGGTCCCTAAAGCAGTTTGCTGTGCCTGCCTGGTCCCCTGTCACAGATGAGTCATCTGTTACTAGGTTGCTGTCTCTGGGCCACATGGTGGCCTTAATGCCCCCACCGGCCATTGCCACCACTCAGCTCAGCCCTCACGGCCCCTTGGAGCTGCCTCACACCCTGCCTGCTCTGCTCAGCTTGGCTGGCATAGCCTCTGCCGCTGTGGCTTCTTGCACTTCCCCTAACCCTCTCAGCCAGTCATATGTAGCCACCAAACGTGGTTCCAGAAGCATCTGCAGTGTGGTGCCCTCTCTCCCCATGTGTGTACACATGGGTCTTGGGTCCCTCAAGGGTGATGTAGACTTGGGCCAGGGTTTCTCTGAGGCAAGGACCACAGAGACTCAGTGCCCCTGCCAGCCTGTGCCCATCCCCCAACCCCCCTCCCGCACTGAGCCCCAGGTGGCTCTGAGGCGGTGATTGTCAGGTGGAGGTCAGTGAGGGTGGCCTGTGGCCTGGGGCCACCGAGCGGCCCGTAGAGGTGGCCCACAGGTGAGTATCAGCCGGTCTCAATCGACTCACAAACACGGCCCACCCTGCGTGTCCCCTGCCTGCCCTGGGCCATATACATGGCCCAGAAGGACTTCAAAACAACTCCGACTGGACGTACTATACATGCTTGTCCAGCTCCCAGCACATGTCCCCTCCTGAGACACCATGCAGGTTGGGCTGGATTGTGAAGTTCGTGACCTCCAAAGTCACCCAGAAAGCGTCTTCGGCCCAGTCATGTGCGTTCCAGGGCGGCCCAGGACAGGGAGTGGGGGAGCGGGCTCCCCACTTCTCACCCCAAGACCCAGGGCCAGGCGTGTCCCCAGGGCTCTGGGCTCATTAGGCCCTGTCAAGGGTAGGTGCAGGTCTGCCTGCTAGCCACTGCGGGTGTCCCCAGACCCCGCCATCCCCCACCAGCTGGGAGCTGCAGAGTGGCTCTCCTGGCCATGGGCCACCAAGAGCTCATAGCCTTGTAGCCGGCGCCGTTCCCTCTCGTAAGAAAGTCTGTTAAGTTAGCGCTTGAAGGAGTGGAAGGTAGGTAAAGACCAGGCGTCTCTGCGAGGCGTCTGTCTGTCTGTCTGTCTTTCTTTTATGATTTTTTTCCATCATTGCCACCATCACCCTCACTTCTTATTTTATTATCTTGGTTTGGTTTTTATCACTTTATCTTCCTCCCGTTTGCAGCGGAAGCACCCTTCCAGCCCATCCCCTAGTGGCTTTATTTTGTTTCCATCGCCCTTGCCTGACTCCCTCCCACCCCTGGGCACTTTGGATTGGGGTGACTGGTCAAGAAATGGGCCCCGCTCCATCGCATGGCTACTGCCCAGGGTTCAGGAAGGGCAGCTGGAGATCACTCCCAGGCCCTCAGCAGCCGCCATCTTTGAGGATGAAGCTGTAGTTGATTCTAGGTCCCAGAATAAAAGATCAGGGAGTGCACACAGCCACTCTGACTAGATGTCAGACTTGGGTACTGCAGGTGAGCTGCCCAGCAAGCCAGGGAGGCCTGTCTGCCACCTGAACAGACTGAGGTCTGTGGTCCCCAGCTCAAGGCCAGACCACCATAACTGATAGCCAGGCCTGAGTAGGAACTGTGCTGTGTGAATGGCTGAGGCTGTTCCACGGCCTGCACAGTGAGATCTGCCCCTGGGCTTGCAGGAGGATTCAGAGCTAATGCGTAATGCACCTAGAAGGTGTACAGCCAATCCCAGCAGCTGGGGACCAGTAGGCTTTGAAGCTGGGTTTTTCTATCTGTGGCCTGAGGCGGGGCTCAGGGGTAATGGCTGAGGGGCCGTGGGTCCTGTGTAGGAGCCTCCCCCATGCCCAGCAGACAAGGCCACAGAGAGCCTGTGCCAGGACGCATTTCAAGCCTCAAAAGGATATTGGGTGCTGGATGCACAGTAGGTGCATAGCATATATTGTCAGTAATTTCCACAGGCTAGCCTCTGGCCCATGGTAGGGCTATACATGTTCACCAGGGCCCTTGATGTACACAGTAGGCATGCTCTTATGAGTCCTGATGTCCTGTCCAACATATAGTAGGTGCTCTTTAAGGGTTATTTGAAGTTTAAATACAGATCAGAACATAATCATAAATGAAAGCCATCAGCCATTGGAGACAAGCTACATCTGATGCTGGGTGCACAGTAGGTCTCTAGCATATAGGGCTCTGCCAGTTCTGCAAGCCTCTTCATCTTCAGTAAACACTCAGTTGCTGTAAGGAAGTTAGGTTGGTGTTTGACACACAGTGGATGCTTATATCTGTACCTTGTTGGTCTGGAAAGGAATTGTGCAGCTCAGGGATGGCTCAGTGCAGTGCCTGCCAAGTGTCAGATTATGGCACCTGACACACAGTAGGTGCTTCATATGTGAAGGCTAGAACTCGATTTAATAAAGTACCTACAACATGGACTGTCACACCATAGGTGCTTAAGCTAAAGCTCCTAATAGTACCTGACACACGGTTGGCACCTAATAGATGAGAGCTCTTAATGTTTCACAGTGTGTAATAGCCCAGTGCCTGACACATAATAGGCACTTCATATATGGAGACAGTTACTCCAGTGTCTGGCATACAGTGGGTGTTTAATATGTGGGAGCTGTTAGTCTGTTGCCCACATAGTAGGTATTTAATAAGTGGAGGTTGTTCTTGTTTTTCACTAAAGACCCTGGTGTAATACCCAGCACATAGTAGGTATTTAATGTGTGGTCACTATTAGCCCAGTCAGTGCCTAGCATACAGTAAGTGTTTAATGTATGGGTACTACTAGCCCAGTGCCTGGCACATTGTAGATTTGGCATGTATAGCTTAATGCCCTTCACAGTGGATGTTTATTGTGCAGGAATTGTTAACCTAGGGTCTGGCACATAGTATGTGCTTAATATGTAAGGTTCTTGATACTCTATAGAGTCCATAGTCCAGTGCCTACCACACAGTAGGTGTTTAAAGTTTAGGACTTTTTCAGTAGAGTCCCTAGCACAGTAATGGTACATAGGGTACACAGTAGGTGATTTAGCTTTTACAATCTGGCTTTCTGATATAGCCAGTAACATAAATGCCTAGCATATAGGTAAGTGCTTACAACCTGTTAGCCTGGTGTTCTGGCACACAGTGGATGTTCAGTATTCAGGGACTTGGCCTAGTGCCCAGCACACAGTAGGTGTCTTATAGGATATGTTCAGCACTTTGATTATTACTTTGTAAAACACCTGGCATGCAAACAGGCACACATTAGGTGTTCAAGACACCCGTTTTTGAGTAGGTCCAAGAGGATAGTGGTGTCTGGAGTTGGCTGTTGGGATGTTCCTAGGGCTCAAATGTTCAGTAAATAGATGAACCAGAATATTTAGCCATTGTATTTTTTTAACCCCAAAATACTTCAGCACCATGCAAGGCATGTAGTAGATATTCAGGGAATAAGTAAATCTGCTGTTGTCTAAAACTCCTTGGTGTGATACCTTGAGCATAGCAGGACCCAGTTAATCTGGTTGCTAATCCCCTTGACAATTACCCAGCATATAGTAGGACTTCAATAGCACGTGCCTTTGTCTTAGTCTATGAAGCCCTTGTCAAACAGCTTGCACATAATATGTACCTGTATGTAGGGCTTCTCCCCACTTGGCATGGTACCCAGTGCACAGTAGGTATGGAGGCTGTAGATGATTTTGCTCCCATTCTTTGAAGTCCTTGTGGGATGCCTGGCACATAATAGGTAGCCAGTTCTTAAGAGTTTCAATTGCAGTCCTTCTCATGGTGCCTAGCACACAGCAGGTATATGGCTAAGTACATTCCTGTGTATATTATTATATGGAGTCTTGGCATGTGCTTGGCCCATAGTAGGTATGCAAGAAATAGGCTTCTGCCATTCTCTGAAGGATATGGCAAGTGTCCCAGCAAACAGTAGGTGCTTAGTATGATTCCCCTTATGGTGCCAAGCACATAGTAGGAGTCTGGAAAACGATTTTCTTATTCTGTGAAGTCTGTGGCACACAGTAGGTCCTTAGTATGTGGTTCTTCTATTGTGGTTTCCTTTGTCATGGTGCCAGACAAAATAGGTGCTCAATAGTTGCTTTCTCTATTTCATGAAGCCTGTATTATTTTCATAACACACAGTAGGTCTCTGATAACACACAGTAGGTCTCAAGCACATAGAGGAGCCCAGTGGCCAGAGCCCTCACCACCACCCTTATTTCACGCAGGAGACCTACTGTGCACCTGGCAGTCACCTTCCCAAAGCTAGTCCAGCAGTTCTTGGCCAGCCCTCCCAGACCC